GCAGGAATTTAGACTATTGCTTAACTTTTACTACTTTCGTTCATTAATTTAATGAAGACTTAATTTTAAAATTTAATGAAAAGGTTTTATAACACTAAAAACTATACAGTCTATCGCTTGCAATGCGATGTTATTCTTTTTTTTTTTTTTTTTTTTTGATAGGCAGAGTGGACAGTGAGAGAGAGAGACAGAGAGAAAGGTCTTCCTTTGCCGTTGGTTCACCCTCCAATGGCCGCCGCAGCCGGCACACCGCGCTGATCCGATGGCAGGAGCCAGGAGCCAGGTGCTTTTCCTGGTCTCCCATGTGGGTGCAGGGCCCAAGGACCTGGGCCATCCTCCACTGCGCTCCCGGGCCATAGCAGAGAGCTGGCCTGGAAGAGGGGAAACCGGGACAGAATCCGGTGCCCTGACCGGTACTAGAACCCGGTGTGCCGGCACCGCAAGGCGGAGGATTAGCCTATTGAGCCACGGTGCTGGCGCGATGTTATTCTATGTCAGAGTCCCATCTTGTGCCCTGGTTGCTTCTGCTAATATTCCTAGGTAGGTAGTGAAGGATGGCCCAACTACTTGGCCCTCAGCTATGCATGTGGAAGACCTGGATGGGGGTGCCTGTCTCTTGCCTCTGCCAGCCTAGCTGTGATGATCTGGTCATTTAGGGAGTCAACCAGTAGATAGAAGATCAGTGTCTATCTGTCCCTCTCTGTCATTCTGCCTTTAAAAGAAATAAATCTATAAATAAATCTTACACAAAACAAAACATGCTGATTGAAATGTCCACATTCCATATCAGAGTGCCTTGTTTGAATCCTGGCTACGCCACTCGTGATCCAGCTTTCTGATGATAATACAGAGCCTGAGATGAAGTATGTGATGGCGCAAGTATTTGAGTCCCTGCCACTCACGTGGAAGACCCTGAAGGTGTTCCAGGCTACTTGCTTTGGTGTTGCCCAGCATTTGTGGGCATTTGGAGAGTGAACGAATGGATGACAGACCCCTTGTCTATCTCTGTCTCTCTCCAAATTTTTAAAAAACAGATAATAATGGCTTTAATTATTTATCTATATGTTACCCATCTGTATCTGTTGTGACTCCCTGAAATCTCAGATTCATAGTTTTTAGCCAGGCTAGTGAAACTTCCTTTTCATTATTTGAGAGCTGCATTTTTTTTTTTTAATTTCTTCAGTGATTGTCTACTTCTGTACTCATAGCTAACCTCTCCCTCCCTGTCTCTCTCTCTCTCTCTTTTTTTTTAATTTGATGCATTGGAAACTTGCACGAGTGTACAGAGCAATGATCCAGACAGCTGTACCTTTACTACAGACACTTTTTGAGTGCCAAATTAGTTTGTAGTGCAAATCTTGAATGAGAACTGCACCTGCTCTCAATATGGATGAAGGTGGCAGATGTTACGGGAAGGCTAATTTTGGCACTTGTTTAAATCTAATTGGCAGCTGACATCACCATTTCCTGGGATTTTTTGCCTTGGAGTCATGGAAATCCTGCTTTTGACACCAAAACTGCCTTCTTGTTTTGTTTGTAGGATTTAGTTGTGTTATTTTTGAGAAATATTGAGCTCTTTGTGTTGTGATCCCATGCTATGTTTTCTTATATACTAGTGGTTTCCTAAAATTGTTTAACTAGACATTTTAACTAAAATTTATCATGTATGAACATTGCATTTTGGAGTAAGTAACTTTGAGTAGCCAATATTAAATATAAACATATGTCTGCCATTATACATTATTTTCTTGTAGAATAAGTGATTGCATTTTAAGAATTAATAAATTCTTTGAGAGTTGATAGGATTTAAATGACAGTTCATGCTGCATGTAGAGTGTTTTCTAGTATCATTTTATTTACAGTGTGAGAAAAAGCCAGTATACAGGTGTGTATTTCAGGTATCTGATTTTAAATTTGCAGGATCTTTAATACCACACTTTGACTTAAGCACAGGGCTTATATCCAACAGCAAATCAGAATATTCCTTTAAAATACGTTTAGGGAAAATTATATTTAATCTTTATTTTTCAACCCTTAAGTGATTTGCTTATAACTTTAAACTTTTAATATTTTAAGTTCATAAGTTATAGCTCTCTTGATATATAATTCACATATCATATGGGCACCTATTAAAAGGGCATAGATCATTATTTTACTATGCGTGTGGATAAAAGTGCAATCATGACCACAATTTCAGGAAATTTACATTCCCTGAAAACATATCCTGCATCTTTGTAACTGCCATGCTCCACGCCCTTCCTCCTTCCCCTTCCAGCTCTAGAGTACTACCAATCAACTTTCTGTCTCTGTAGATTGTCCTATTTGGGATGTTTTGTACAAATGGAATCACTTCTTATTAATTTGGGGCTGGTATAAATAACATTTATTATTAATTTGGGAATGGCTTCTTTGGCTACTAAAATGTTTTACAAATTCATCCATGTTGTATACTACTTCACTCCTTAAAACTGAGTAAGATTTCATTGTGTGGATATACCACATTTTGTTTATCCGTTCATAAGTTGATGAACATTTGGATTGTCTCCATCTTTTGGCTACTGTGAATAGCCAGATTTATAGAAAATAATAAGATTTATAGTGGCAAGTACAAGTTTTTCAAATTTGTAATTTTCTCATAAAAACTTGAATTTTATCATTGGCAACAATTCCTTTCAGTAGTTTTCCTGGTGTAGCAGTCTCACTTCTTTGATTTTGAGAAAATATCTGCCAAATACCCAACACTGAATAACAAAATAATGGTTTGTCTTCATTATTTCAACTCAAAATGGTGTTACCTGGAAAAATCTTCCTAGCTTCTGCTGCCTGCTGGGGTGTGCATTGGCAGGAAGCTGGAATTGGGAGCTGATCTTGACCTGCACCTAGGCACTCTGACATGGGGTGCTGCCCTCCCAGGAGCATCTTCACTGCAGTGCCAAGTGCCCACCCCTTAAGTGAAAAGGGCTGGTGCTTTGTGACAGCTTGGATCACGCTGAAGAATATGATTATTACTAATACAATTTAATTCTGTTGGCTTGATTTGTCCTTAGGCATTGGCAGTTTTACCTACCATTGCTTTTGCACTATCAGTGCAAATATCAACACAGAAAGTAAGTTTACAAAAAAAAAAAAAAAACTAGACTAAGTATTGTGGAAATAGTTTTTATCTTCTGGACACATCTCAGGGATCCCAGCAGTCCGTATATCATATTCTTATTGCAGGCAAATAAGTGAAATAATATGCTGAGGAAAAGAAGGAAATACAGTGTCTTTTATTATAGCTTTTATCCTTGTCTGAAACCCTTTCAACCACATACCACCTTTTTCTTGGTGGCAGTAGGTGGGTGGTGTCATGAGTTATATATTAATATCTTTTATATTACCTACTTTGGTATCATTATTCATGCACAATATATTCTGTGTTCATTTCATATTACAAGTTTCTGGAAATATTTGAGGGTGTTACCCTAATGTGGTGCAGATTTCTTTATGTTTGGATTCAGATATCATTTCACAACTCAATTCTATACTGTTGTGTAACTTTGAACTATTATATCAGTTCTCTGAAGCTTAATTTTCCTTACATGTTCATTTTAAAGATTTATTTATTTGAGAGGCAGACAGAGACAAGGGAAGTCACAAAGACAATCTTCCATCTTCTGGTTCACTCCTCAAATGGCTGCAACAGCTAGGGCTTGTCCAGGCCAAAACCAGGAGTCCAGAATTTCATCCTGGTCTCTCAGTGGATAGAAGGGCCCCAGGAACTTTGACCATCTGCTGCTGCTCTCCCAGGCCCATTAGCAGGGAGCTGGACTGGAAATAGAGTAAATGGGGACTCAGACTGGTACTCTGATATGGAATGTCAGTGTGTCAGGCAGTGGCTTAACCCTTCGTGCCACAATGCCAGCCTCTCCTTAGATTTTCTAAAGTTTTATTATTCTAAATACAACAAAAAATTATTTAAAAGATTGTTAGTATTCATTAGGTAGCATTAGTAAAATGCTAATGATGGTACCTGGTATGTAATAAATGCTCAGTAAATACTCATTGATGTATTTAAATTCATAGGACAGAATCATTTTGCTTTTACTGTTTTTGTGTGTGTGTGTGTACATCTGCAGTAAAAGCACAAGAAAGTATTGATTACATTTTTAATGTCTTATATACTCAACATAAACTTCTATTTTATGATTTTATTTTTGTGAATTCTCTGAGTACAGTAAAAATTTGGGTAATATATCATTCCCACATGTAAAATTAGAGTATAACATTTCTAAGAAGGAAAAATATATATATTCCTAGATCATACTGGAAGAAATCTAAACACATTCTAGAATAATTTTATCACGTAGTTATGTAATTGAAAGTCTGAATTCTAACACTGGTTCTCTGACTCTGAAATCAACTTAGCCTTTGGCAACTTGCTTGCATAGGACTGTGGAATATGTACAAGAAATTATAAAGTTACATAAGCCATTTGTTGTATTGTTTTAGGTTTCAGATTTATTAAGCATTTAAAATACATGTAAAATTTGACATGTAGTTGTGATTAATTCTTAAAACTTTCTAACAGTTCTTCAGCAAATTTTATATAGTATAATTCTTTACAATAGCAAATTTTATGTAGTAAGTTGTAATATAAAATAATACTCTTTATTTGGGAAAACCAGAACAGTATGTTGAAAAGCAAATTAATTTTAACATTTCATTTGGTTATACCAGAGAAACCACATGTAAGTATTCATTATTCTGTGATTTAAAGTTCTATGTTCAAATCATCATTATTTTTTAAAATGGACTCACATTCTTTTTTTGATGCAATTGCAGATAGCTTTTTATAAAACTGTGAATACTTCTTAGCAATGTGAGGACGTTATTTTTCTTAAGATTTTTGGGTACATCTATATTAGCTTGACTATTCCTCTGTTGAAGAGGGTATTAATTATTCAAAAAAGTTAATTTTGAGGTAACAGGCTTTTTATATTTTTTCCTTTTTTTATAAGCTATTTGAACTGCTGGGACCTGAAGGGCTTGATCTTATTGAGAAGCTCCTCCAGAACAGAATCACAATTGTGGATAAATTCCTTAATTCTTCAAATGATCATAAGTTTCAGGCTCTTCAAGGTAAGAAAATATACAATTCTTAAGGAATGATTGAGAAAAAATATGCAATTATAAAGGAATAGTTCATCGGTTAACAGATCTTTTTAATTTAATTATATTTTGGGACTTTATGTAGTTTACTGATACTGTCCTATAAAGGAGAATTTAAGTATGTCAGATTATGAGACTAATGTAAGTGACCTATATAGGAGCATATTATAACAGTGTTTGATGATACCAATTTTTTGGGTAAATTTCCTTATAACAGCCATAGTACTTAAAAGTGACTATATATAGTATCCACTATGGACCAAATAGTAGTGTAATTTCTCTCCAACTTTTTTACTTTTTTAAAATTTATTTATAAATATATATTTCTAAATTTATTTATAAATATAATTTATTTTTTTGAATGGCAGAGTTACAGAGAGAGATGGAGTGACAGAGAAAGAATCTTCCATCCATTGGTTCACTCCCCAGTGGCCACACCAAAGCCAGGAGCAGGAGCTTTTTCTGGGTCTCCCAAATGGGTACAAGGGCTCAAGCACATGGGCCATTTTCTACTGCTTTCGCAGGTGCATTATCAGGGAGCTGGATGGGAAGTGGAGCAGCTGGGACTCAAACCAGCAGCCATATAGCATGTGATATCACAGGCTGAAGCTTTACCTGTTATGCCACAATGCTGGCCCCAACTTTTCACTTTTAAAACTTTCAAACCTTTAGTGAAAGTAGCTGAATAATACAGTGAACACTTGCACAGCCTTCTTGCAAATTCACCAAGCCATTAACATTTTGTCTCCTTTGCTCCTTTCTATATACACATACACATTTATGTTTTAAATTTCATTGAATAATGACAGTACGTTCCAGACATCATGATATTTCACCTTTACAATCTTCTTCATACATCTAAAAACAATGACAGTCTCTTGTGTAACTACATTGTAGTTATCACAGTCAGCAAATTGAGTACTTACAGTGTCATGCATTAGATATATTAAAAAAACCCTCAAGAATTATAGAATGTTGGCTGGGCAGCCAAAATTATTAAAAACTTCTGATTTGTGACACAGCTTATGCCAGACTCTGGTTTTAAGTGACAAGCAAGAAAATGAAATTTCTTACAAATGTTCATTGTCCACCTCACAAATAGTTTGCAAAATTGCATAGACTTAATGTTTTTAAGTGGAAGAATATAAAGAGTCATACACCCTTCTTCAAACTACTCAACATCTATTCTATATAGCATGTCATTTTCTACTTATATTTATGATTAAGGCACTAAAAGGAAATAAGGTAGGTTTGATTTAATCCCAAAATTTCTTACAGATTTTCTTTTTTTAAGATTTTTTTAAAATTTATTTTTTGGAAAGGCAGAGTTATTGAGAGAGAGAGAGAGGGAGAGAGATGTCTTCCACAGGCTCACTCCCCAAATGGCCGCAACAGCCAGGGTTGGGCCAGGCCAAAACTAGGAGCCCATAGCTTCATCCGGTCTCTCACATGGATGCAGGGGCCCAAGCACTTGGGCCATCCTCATTTGTGCCTTCCCCAAGGCACTTGGAGGGAACGGATTGGAAGTGGAGCAGCCAGGGCTCAAACTGGCACCCATGTGGGATGCTGGCATCACAGGTGGAGGTTTAACCTGGTCCACAATGCCAGCCCCTTACAGATTTTGTTAACTACTCATCAGTGTTCCCAGAAGCCTAGAGTTGCTTTGATGTTGCTAGAAACTCGGAAAGTTTGAATTTGGTTTCTTGGTTCCCTAAGTATATTGAAAACTTGTAAATTGCTTGCTCCAAGAGGGCTCCCTCCCACCTGTAGAGTTGTACATAATCAGAAAAATAGCATTTAAAGCATTTAAAGTCAATGTCTATAAAAAGAAAAGGAATGAGTTTAAATATCCAGTGCTATGATATTGTAAATTCTAAGAATTTGGTTTCATTTTTTTTTCAGTCTCCTAAGTGTTAATATAGAGATATTTACTGATACCAACTTTCAAAAATGCTAATTATTCACAAAGCTTAACATGAGTCTAAAATCATATATGGGCTTGGAATCTGAGGATGATGAGTTAGTAGTTTAATTTATGTTCATTATGTTTTATTATGTCCAATTTATAAACTTTATTAAGATAGTGACTTCTTAGATTCAACACACTTTTAAACTCAAAACAGATATTAATTTAGGATTACTAAAAACATGTATGTTTGGGCCATGAGTCTGTCCCAAAATGTTTTCTGGTCTTCTCAAGCTTCTTTAACTCATTTATTCCCTTTTAAAACATTAATGTTACTTTCTAAGAATAGTAATCATCTTATAGACAATTTGGGACGTTTATAAATCAGCTGACAACTAGCATATTTTTAAAAAATTCTTTTTAGTAAGTTTTTTGGTATATGTGCATAAAAAGTTATTTTCCTTAAATTTCAGAGATATAAGGAAATGCTCTTGTAGAAAAATAATCTTTCAACTCTTATTACTTCAACACTGTCATCACTATTCCCATTCACTTATGCCCTTTGATACAAGTTTTGTGTTTAATGATCTTTCAGAATTCTCTCATAATTACCAAATTGTATTACTTCCTAAGTCACCTTAGTATGGCTAGTTATTAACCACATACCATCCTTTGCTTTGTTTTCCAAAATCTGTGTGTTAGAGTGTCAAAGCTTCTTTTCATTTAGCGTTTGCTAGCTTTGATTCTGCTTTTGTTTGAGTCTTTTTATCCAGATATACATACATCTTACTCTAAGTCTCTTCTTATAACCAAGAAGTGCAAGGTAGGTGAGAAGTGAGTAGGCACAGTGTACTGACCTCTGTGTTAAGGATAGTTGTGAATTGAATCTGTGTTTCAGAGCTGATGTGGAGAATGTTCAGCACAGGGTGTGACCTTAAACCAAAATCAAGTTAGTTCAGGCTGTCAAGTGACAGTAGTTTTTGAGTAGTTATATGAGACTTATTCTGTCATAATTATATTCTAAAAGGATACAAGCTTCTACAGTATTCTTCAGTAAAATTTTATATTAGATTTATTGTTAAGGTTATTAATTTTGTTTCTGCCTGTCAGTCTCTGCAGTTAACCTGACTCAAAGAGAGATAAACATTTAAGCAATTGTTACTTTACAACATGATTTTGTTTTTTTTTTTTAATTACCTACTGTGTTTAGTCTTACAGGATTCTAGTATATATTCTGATTGGGAGATTTTAAAGATTTCAATGAAATAGACATTTTGTCTTCTAATTTTACTTTCTTTATTGAGATGAACACAAAAATATATGATAGTGTTTTATTACCATCACATTTGTTCAAAATGGAATTGACATTAGCATAGCTTTGTGTGTCACCCAAAGGATTTAGAATTTTACACTGAAGTTCCTTTATACTCAGAAGCACATGACATTATTCACATTTTTATTTTCTTATGTTTTTAAATGAGTGCTTTTGCTCTGAAGATTTATTTATTATTATTTGAAAGGCAGAGTTAGAGGAAGAGAGACAGAAAGATCTTCAGTCTGCTGATTCACACACAAAATGGCTTCAACAGCCAGGACTGAGCCATGCTAAGCCAGTAACTAGGAGCTTCATCTACATCTCCCATGTTGGTGGCAAGGGCCCAAGTACTTGAGCCATCTTCTGCTGCTTCCTCTGGTGCTTTAGCTGGGAGATGGATTGGAAATGGAGCAGCTGGTACTTGAACCTGCACTTTTATGAGATGCTGGCATTTCAGGTGGTGGCTTAACCAACTGTGTCATGATGCAGGCACCTATTCACATTTCTCACATATTCTGCTTTGTACCTGTGTTCCTGTCTTTGCAGGTGATTTAACTTTTTTTTTTTAGCTCAGAATATATGTGAAAGCTGTTTGAATGTTGTACATATTCTTTTTCTGACACTGAAAGTTAATTATCAACTCCATTGTTACAATAGGCATATAAGACTTAGAATGTGAGGTATATATGACTTCAGAAAATACTTTTCACAGAACAGTAAAATTTAGTCTTAATATACATGGGGTTATATAGTCTTTCATAGTTTTGAGACATACTGTCATTTCCAAGGCTTATACTTGAAAACCTATTTCACAAGGTTGTTATTTCATGTGATTGAATGTTAAATGACTTATTCAAAATTATGTTATAAGGTACTGATAAATATGTGAGATTGTGAAGATCTTATAATGAATTAGAAAACTAATTTTCCCATCTTGTACTAGATTTAATTCCTTCACTTTTCTGTATTGTATTGGGAATTTGATAAAATGAAAATAAAAACAATTGGTAAAATTGTAGAAGAATTTGAGAAATAACTGTTCAACATCTCAGTATGGGCCATACCTCCTCCTTCATTGTCTTCCTGGTCTGGCAGTAGTGTTAGAAACTTGTTTCTGTAATAAACAAATACAGGAACTACTGACTGACTTGGATTGCCCTGAAGAAAACTCATTTAGTTCTGTTAGGCCTGCATTGAAGAAAGATTCTGAAAGATAATCTTGTTGGAAGAAAATTTTTCCTGAATATTGAGCTGACCATGCCACAGACCTAAATTGTAGTTTTTAAGAACTGAATTTTGATTGACCTGGTTCCCTTTAGTGATTCTGTTATTTTAGTGATTATATTATTATTTATTATTTTTAAAGTATATCAGTGGGTCAGGTGCTTGGCACAACAATTAAGTCAGCATTTCAGAAACCAGCCTCCCTTCCTGATCCTGTGTCATGCCAAGGTGCATGTTTGCAGGCAGCAGTGATAGCTCAAACACTAGGGTCCCTGCTGCACACGTGAGAGAGCTGGATTCAGTCTGAACTAGCCCTGGCTATTGTGAGCATTTGAGGAATGAACCAGCAGTTGGAAAATCCTTGTCTGCCTATCTGTCTGTCTCTCTGCTTCTCAATGAAAAATAATAAATTAAAAAAAAGTATGTGAGGATACTCTAAATAGCCATAGTAAAACAGAATTAAAAGACAAGTTTATTTTGATAAAAACAGTTGAAATCCCTGCAAAGTTTTTTAAAAATACTCATTTTCTGTGAACTTTTTGAAAACCCTTCCTATGTTTTTGTTTCAAAATTTTTTGTACCAGAATAAACTTGTGTCTTCATTCCATTTCCCATAAATTTTTGACATGTCCTCATAGTTCCGTGAAGGTAGATCATACTTGTGCTTTATTTGCCCTGGTCACTATCTGAATATATCTTGAGTTAATATTACCAAATTTTATCTCATGTATAAATAGGTAGTAACATAAATTCATGGAAAATGCATATTATGAAGAAACTATGTCTGATTTCAAATATTTTGACCAAGATAGATTTCTCTTAATTTCATCCTCTATGCCATGTATATTTCTTGTATTTTTTTTTTTTTTTTTTGGACAGGCAGAGTGGACAGTGAGAGAGAGAGACAGAGAGAAAGGTCTTCCTTTGCCGTTGGTTCACCCTCCAATGGCCGCCGCGGCCGGCGCGCTGCGGCCGGCGCACCGCGCCGATCCAGTGGCAGGAGCCAGGAGCCAGGTGCTTTTTCCTGGTCTCCCATGGGGTGCAGGGCCCAAGCACCTGGGCCATCCTCCACTGCACTCCCGGGCCACAGCAGAGGGCTGGCCTGGAAGAGGGGCAACCGGGACAGAATCCGGCACCCCGACCGGGACTAGAACCCGGTGTGCCGGCGCCGCTAGGCGGAGGATTAGCCTAGTGAGCCGCGGCGCCGGCCAATGCCATGTATATTTCAGAGTATAACGTTACCTATTACATGAGAATGTGCCTAATATGGAAAGAATTTTCATTTTATTCATATTTATTGTTATTTTATAACAGTAAATGCTCATCAGTATTGATAATTATTATATCTGATTATGTAAACAGATTTCAAAATTTTATTCATGGTATTTGGAAAATTTGTAATGTTAACATTAAGCTTTAGGTAGAAGTAAGGTATTGGTGACTTCTGCTATGCAGTGTTATTTATATACTGTGATTAAAAAGATTAAAAACTCCTTAAAGATAAAAAGTGAAGATATCAGCTTTAAGGACACTGTGCTATATTATATTTTCATGGGGATAGTTCTTGTAAAGATTAAATCATGTCTGAGGCTTATGAACATTATGTTTCTAAAACTTGCTTCCTAGACAGTTGCAAAAAAATTTTAGGGGAAAATACTAAACCGAATTATGGTTGCCAAGTCACTATTCAGTCTGAACAAGAAAAACAGTTAATGAAACAATATCGTCGTGAAGAAAAGAGAATTGCCAGACGAGAAAAAAGGGCTGGAGAAGATGGAGAAGGTTCAGGAGAAGGACTCACGTGCTTCGATCCTAAAGAATTGAGAATACATAGGTAATAAAAGCCAGAAGCTGAAAAATGCTTGTGGGGTAATTGCTACTTTTACTTGCCATCATTTTTTTGTTTAGTTTTAGCAATTTAGATGATTCTTACTTCTAGGCACGTTTTCTTATAAGAATAGAATTTTCTGTTATGAAAACCTAATTTTCTGGGATAAGAAAGCAATGATCTACCTAATTAGAATAATCTTGGTTATATCCATGTAGGTGACAGGTTTAGATTATAGATGTAAGCTATTGTTAGATACTGTGCACATGCCACTAGGTTAAGATTTATAAAACCTACATAAATGTGTTTTGAGATCTTTGTGTTGTTGTTTTTTTCTCCAGTTTAATGGTACTTTTTTCCATTTTTTTATTTAGAAGTAGAGAGGAAGAAAATGAAATAAAAGCATATTGCACTTGCTTCTTTAAATACCGAAACCCACAGTAAAAACAGGTTTTATACCTTATTAACCATCTTTGGATTGTGAAAAAAAATTGTAAAGAACCTTAAATCCAGCTTATTGGATGGTGTCTAAAAATAATATTAAAGATGTTCTATAGCATATTTGGTTACCCAAAGAATTTCAGGATAGCTGATATCTTTCTTTGTGTAGTTTCACTTCTTTTCTTCTATAATGGAAGACTACTTGAAGCAAGTATTATAATAGCCTTGTTTTAGTGTGTGCTTTCCTTTCAAGGTAAAAATTTCATATTCAGCCTACTATTTTTCTGTTTGTAGAGAGCAAGCACTTCTGAATGCTAAAAGTGCCCCACTTCTGAGCAGGCAGAGAGACACAGACACGGAAAAAATACATTATCCGCATGTTTATGATTCCCAGGCGGAAGCCAGGAAAACATCAGCCTTCATTGCTGGTGCAAAGGTATGTCACTGGAATAGAATCTTTTTTGGGTGATAAATCTGTTCTGAGCAAAGACACAGATTTTTTCCCTATTTTCTTTGTGAGTCTAGGCCTTGTTGATTAGACTGTACTAAATTGTATTTAAAAATATTAGAGAAAGTAGAATAACACAGCATAAAGTTGCTGTTACACAGCAGATATTGAAAACATACTCGTTTTCCTCTTTTCCATTAGCTTTACAGCTCATATTTTTTTAAATTTTGTCATTTACATTACTGTTAAATTTTATACTGTTTATTGTATATTTTCCTAGTTACATGAACAGATTTGTTTTTAAGAATGCCATTTAATTAATTTACACATTAAGGCTTTCAAAATACCATGAACTGTGTGTTATATATCATAAATGAATATTTTTTGAATGTGTGGTTTTTCATATTTGTTTGTTTTTCTGTAAATTAGTTAAATTTATTTACCAGTATCATGTCATAAAACCAGTAGTATATTCTCTCTGTGTGTCCATTAAATAATCTTCTCCAAAGCAATTGTTCTACTTTTCATTATTTTTTAACTTCTACTTTTGGTGTTTATAGATGATTTTACCAGAAGGAATCCAAAGGGAGAACAGCAAGCTTTGTGAAGAAGTTAAGATTCCCTACAGTGAACCAATGCCGGTGGGCCTCGAGGAAAAGCCAGTTTATATCCAAGACTTAGATGAGGTAAGATAACTCTTTTATAGTGTTGATGGTTTTGAGACTTGATGCATATTATGAGTGGATTTATATTGCAAAGTTATTTTTAAAAGTCAACAGTTTGTTAACATGGTACAAGACATATATAATTCGTCATTAAAGAGGTACAGTAAAGAAGCTTAAATTTTAAAAAATACATATGTTACTTCATACATTAATCATTTTAATGTATATTTTGTGCATGTCTATATTTTCATGTTTGGTTGTTTCAGCTAATTTTGTAGATACATAGATTGACTTAAGTAAAATATTTTAAAGTACTCATGTCTTGTATTTATATATCAAACGGGTAATCTATAATAAAAACAAATACTTTCGGGGTGGTGTAAAGTATTTTAATTTATTTTTCCTCAACATTATATTTCTGAATAATTTCAAACCTGTGGAAATGTAGAATGAATAGTACTATCCAATTGTCCGTCACTTACATTTAGCTAAGCACCAGGAGCTTTCTCCAGTTCTCCCATGTGGGTGGAAGGAGCCCAAACACTTGGGCCATTTTCCACTGTCTTTCCCAGGCCATTAGTAGGGAGCTGGCTCAGAAGTGGAGCAGTGGGGGCATGAACCAGCACCCATATCATCTCAGGTGATGGCTTAATCTGCCATGCCACAGCACCAGCACCCATGCTTATTTCTAAACAAGTATTGTGTTCATTTTTATTTGGATTATATACTTAAAAGAGTTTTTCTGTACAGAGTTCATTCCATTCCACACACATTCACATTCACCTAATGTCTTTTTGTCATGGAAAATAATATATTCACAGAATCTGTGGGTTAAGACATGGTCATCTTTGGGGAGCAGTATCTTGCCTACCACACATGCTACAGATAACTACAGTTTGATTATTCACCTGTTGGGGGCATCTGCTTTGTGGATAATTTTGAGCTAGGGCTGCCATACCAAAATACCACAGACTAGGTACCTTAAACAACAAGAACTTATTTTCTCTCAGTTCTGGAGGAAGTCCCAGATCGCGGTAGTACCAGCTGTTTCAGTTTAGATGCAGTCTATCTTCCTTGCTTTCAGTCTCCTTCTGCCTTCTTGCTGTGTAGCAACAGGGCTTCTTCTCTTTATTTGCATGGAGAGAGATCTCCAGTGTCTCTTCAACTTCTTGTCAGGTCACCAGGCCTAGCAGGGTAGGACCCCAATCTTATGACCTTACTTAACCTCATTTAAGGTCCTGTCTCCAATACTGGAGGTTAGAACTGTCAATATTTAGATTTTAGCAGGACACAATTTTGTCTGTAACACAGATGAAGATGTTATGAAAATTTGTGTACAATTGTTTTTGTGAACTTAACTTTTCATTTATCTATCACAAATTCCCAGGTATGCATTTGCTGGGTCACATTCTAGTTGCATACTTACTTTTGTTTTGTTTTTGCTTTTAAAGAAACTACCGAGGTGTTTTGTAGAGTGACTGTACTATTGTACATTCCCACCAGAAACCCCAGTGTAATTTATTTTTTCCACATACTAGCATTTGATGTTCTCACTATTTTTTTAAAAAAATTTCAGCCATTGAATTTACCTTTTTTTATATATTTTCTTTATTTAAGTGACAGTGATTTATACAGTGATTATTCATTGTAGTTTTAATCTTCACTTTCATAATGGCTAATACTAATGGAAGAATAATACATTCAGTACAATGTCTCATGGACTGTTTGATGTTGTAGCACTTAAGATGACTCCACCAGATGTCATAAGCTTAGGTAGGAATATTGATCTCAAAATAAAATACAGATACAGAGTTCCAGATAGTTTAGCAATACTTCTGTTGATGTGGGCCTTTTTTATACTAGGTAGGATATGTTCAAGTTGCCAGTACAGAGTAAGCATGTATCAAGGAAAATTAGAGTAGTCAGAACACTAGAAATTTAATTTATGCTGCATTTATTCCTTCCTCTTGAAATTTAGAAAATCATTTTTGTAAGGTTTCTCCCAATGTCAAAAAATGGTAACATCACTTTTTAGTTTTAAACTTTGTATTTAGCTACTATTTCTTTTTTTTTAAAGGATTTATTTATTTGAAAGGCAGAGTTAGAGAGAGAGAGAGAGAGAGAGAGAGAGAGAAGGAGGGTGAGGGAGAGGGAGAAACAGAGAGAGATCATCCGTCTACTGGTTCACTCCCCAGATGGCCACAATGGCCAGGACTTGACCAGGTTGAAGGCAGGAGCCAGGAGCTACTTCTTGGTCTCCACATGGGTACAAGGGTCCAAGCACTTGGGCCATCCTCCTCTGCTTTCCCAGGTGCATTAGCAGGGAGCTGGATTGGAAAAGAAACAGCTGGGACTCAAACTGGTGCTCATATGGGATACTGGCACTGCAGGCAGTGGCTTTATCTGCCATGCCACAGCACTGACCTCAGTTACTATTTCTTGATAGCACTTCCTAATACCACATTGATTCAAGGCCATGGTTCTGATAAAATCAATGACACTCCTGACAGTATAATAAGCATTCTTGTGGTATGCTTTAGAAAAAGACTTTTCATTTGGGCATATTCAGTCTTTTTCAAAATGATCACCTGAAAAAAATCTGTACTCTGAAGTGTTTTTCTAGATGCTTCTTTTAACTTTCTTGCTTTCATGATTTGATGGGATCAAACCATATCAATAAACACTGTAACTTTAGGAGCCTCTTAGGATCAGAGAACAAAGTGAAGCCAAAGAAAAAGTATTGCTTCTATTCTTACTCTATTTGGGCTTTTCCAAATTATCAGTCTTAAGCAATGAGGTCAATAATGACAGATTTTTTTGTTTCCATCAATTAACCAGAAACTATTCTAGATATCTTACTATGGTGAATATTTTTTATCTTTCTGATCTTGTAGGTAGCACTCAGTATTACTCCACATGTTTGGAATATAAAGTATATTTTTATATATGTGAAGTATATATAAAGTATAATGTATATCTGAATAACAAAAACTAACATAGAAATGATTTATTTTGTAATTTCTAAGAAAATAAAAGTTTGTATTTTATCTTTTCACCTGAATTATGAACTGCCACCCTGCACCAAGCCATTTTTTGCCTCATTTTTAAAGTCTAAGTTGGATGAACTTGTTTAGGTTATACTGAAGGAAATAACATTGAAGGAAACGGCTTTTAATTCTTAGAGGGAAATACTATGCATGATTAAGATATAATAGGGTGCTTTATAATTAATAGGAATGTGGATTTTTCATCTTTCCAGATGAATAGGTAATTGAACTATATAAGCAGTTTTTCAAACATAATTCACTTACAGCACTAATAATAATTCATTGGCCATGATTCTTGGAATAATTCTAAGGGAATGAATATTGGAGTTTGGTAATTAAAAAATGTTGGGAGAAAATAAGAAGTAGATGTTGTGACAAAAAACTTATGCATTTAAAGACAGTCATAATTTAAACACCCCTTTTCCAAAAATTGTTACTATTCGTTGTGTAGCAAAGTTTTATTTTATGATCTGTGCCCAAGTGTTAGTACTTTTATAAGAAGACTAAGAGACTTCCATAGCAGGTATGGTTTCTAGATATGTTAAACTTAGGAAGCCACAAGCACAAATTATATTGAAAACCAACAAGTACTATATTGTGATGATTGCTTGTTGAGATTTAATTTTCATATCACGTTGACTTCTTTTGATTGCAAGTAAAAAAAAACTAATGAAAAAGTAAATATATTATTTCAGATAACACCAAGGTGTAGTGAAGGCAAGTAGTCCAGGTCAGTTCATTCATTTGCATTCAGAACCTAGGTCATCTTTGCACTCTCATACCCTCTTTATTTTTTATCTTTTCGCTTGTTCCAGGGTTACTGTGAAAAGAAGGTCCAATGTTTTTCTTGTGTCTGTGAGATATTAGCCTCCAAAATCTGAGGGAAATAAAATAATAATGACTAGATTAGTAAAACACATGATTTTATGGAAGGGGGAAAGTTTTCTGGAAAAAAAGTTTATTAGAAAAAACAATATGGCCGGCGCCGTGGCTCAATAGGCTAATCCTCCACCTTGCGGCGCCGGCACACCGGGTTCTAGTCCCGGTCGGGGCGCCGGATTCTGTCCCGGTTGCCCCTCTTCCAGGCCAGCTCTCTGCTATGGCCAGGGAGTGCAGTGGAGGATGGCCCAGGTGCTTGGGCCCTGCACCCCATGGGAGACCAGGAAAAGCACCTGGCTCCTGGCTCCTGCCAGGATCAGCGCGGTGCGCCGGCTGCAGCGGCGGCCATTGGAGGGTGAACCAACGGCAAAGGAAGACCTTTCTCTCTCTGTCTCTCTCTCTCACTGTCCACTCTGCCTGTCAAAAAAAAAAAAAAAAAAAAACAATATGGATCGCTTCTCGGCCTTTTGGCTAAGATCAAGTGTAGTATCTGTTCTTATCAGAAAAAAAATATGGAAGAGTGGCTATGTGGAGATAACCAGCATTGTCTACTATAGCAGTGTGTATCATTGATAAGCATAGTTAGAGTGTTTGTTAGCTAAGTCTGCTAGAGGTGGTAGTCATCAACCCATTTTCTTAATCAAAGAGTTTATTATATGGAGCCAGTCAATATATGATCAGTTTTTTTAACCTTTGATTTACTGAGAATTTATTGTAATATTTTCCAGTGGTTATTTTAGAGTTAGCCTAGCAGTTAAGATACCCACATCCCACATTGGAGTGCATTGGTTTAATTGTTTATATTTTTTTTTAAGATTTATTAATTGATTTGAAAGAGTTACAGAGAGAGAGACACACACAGAGAGAGATCTTCCATCCACTGGTTCACCCCTTAGATGGCAGCAATGGCCAGGACTGGGTTAGGTCAGAGCCAGGAGCTTCATCTGGGTCTGTCACATGGGTGGCAGGGGCCCAAACACTTGAGCCATCTTTTGTTGCTTTATCCAGGCTGTTAGCAGGGAGCTGAATTGGAAGTGGAGCATTTAGGACATGAACCGGTACTGGATGCCTGCATCTCAGGCAGCAGCTTTACCTGCTGCGTCACAACACTAGCCACTAGCTCCAACACCCGACTGTTGCTCCTCACTCCAGCTTCCTGCCAAAGCAGAACCTAGAATGTAGTAGTGATGACCCAAGTATTTGGATTCCTGCCACCCACATCAGATCTAGGTTGAATTCCTGGTTTCAGGCTTTAGCCTTTCAGTTCTGCTGTTGTGGGTATTTGAGGAGTAAACCAACAAACGGGAGTTCTCTCACTCTGTCCCTGCCTCTCAAATGAATAATAATAAAATAGAGTTTATGGGGCCGGCGCTGTGGTGCAGTAGGTTAATCCCCCGCCTGCAGCGCCGGCATCCCATATGGGCACCGGTTCTAGTCCCAGTTGCTCCTCTTCCAATCCAGCTCTCTGCTGTGGCCTGGGAAAGCAGTAGAAGATGGCCCAAGTCCTTGGGCCCCTGCACCCACATGGGAGACTGGGAAGAAGCACCTGGCTCCTGGCTTCGGATCAGCACAGCTCTGGCTGTTGAGGCCATTGGGGAGTGAACCAATGGACGGAAGACCTTTCTCTCTGTCTCTCTCTCTCACTGTCTGTAACTCTACCTCTCAAATAAATAAATAAATAAATAATCTTAAAAAAATAGAGTTTATAATCTGTATCTGTAATTTATCGCAGATACCTGCCTGACCATTTTAAGTGTAGTATCAGTCTTAAAACACTCTTGTACTCTTCATCTCTTGACCTATATATAATTGTTGTCATACATCTATTTTAGCTTCACAGTATACTGATAGTCTTTTTGCTTGAAGTAGTCTTTTTGAAGATACGTTTCAAGATGTCTCAGCAGTAATACAGTTTTTATACTTGTGCACCCAGTAGGACCCTGGATTCGTTTGTGTGGATCAAGATTTCCATCTGGTGTTCATTTCCTGTAGTGCAGCTATGCTGCTGATGAATTCTTTCAGCTTTTATGTCTGAATAAGTCTTCCTTTTTCTCTTTGATTCTGAATGATGCTTTTTCATTTAATACAAAATTCTAGACCAACAATTTCTTCTCTCAGTACATACAGGTGTTGCTGCATTGTCTTCTTGCTTGCATTGTATCAAATAGGAAGTATGCTCTCAATCATCCTTTGTAATAAATTTTTTTTTCTTTCAGTTGGTTTTTACAAAGGATTTTCCCTTTATCACTGGTTAAGATGTAAAAGAGATTGCTCTTTAAGAAATTACGATAAATTGAGTGAGTTCTTCTTTTTATTATAGTTCTGGAGGTCAGATGTGGGTGATGTTGACAGGTTTATCTGTTTAGGATTTCCTTGGATGTGATGTTGATGAAAGTCAATGGTTCATCTGTAAGCTCTGGGGAAGGGTTCTCCTCCAAGTTCATTCATGTTGTAGCAAGTGCAAGATTGAAGTCCTTGCTTTCTTGCTGTCTGTCAGTTGCGGGGGTGGGATGGTTCTCAATGCCTAAAGGCCACCCACGTTCTTTGCCACATGGTCCCCTACACTTTGAAAGACAGCAGTAGAATGTCAAGACACATGCTCCAGATCTCTGATTTCTTCTGCTGGCAGCTGAGAAGACTTGATTTTAAAGAATTCTTGTAAGTTAGTCAAACCCATTCTGTTAAGCTTCCTATCTATAGGGCCACTATTCTGTATAGCACAACCTAATCCTAGGAGTAATATCGATCTTGTTCCTAGTTCTGGGATTCATGCAGGATGTGTATCCTGTGGAATGGTGCTGAGAGTAGAGGGAATTTTGAGAAACTACTGGTTCCTGGCTTCAGCCTGGCTGGGTCCTGGCCATTGTGGCCATCTGGGGAGTGAACCAGTGGATACAACATCTTTGTCTCTCTCCTTTTCTCTCTGTAACTCTGACTTTCAAATAAATAAATAAATCTTAAAAAAAAAAAAAAAGTTCTGTTTCATAGTCACACTTACCACATTTCAAATGTTCAGTGACCATATATATTAAGACTATTTCCAGCATCACAGGAATTCCCATTGGACAGCTCTGTTCTTTGGGGGTTTTGCAACCTCAGCATTATTGAGGTTTTAACTCTGTTGCCAGGGGCCACCATATGCACTATAGAATGTTTATGTACCTATTATATGCCAGCACCACTCCCCTAGTTGTGATATCCAGAGCTATCTCCAGACATTTAAAATGTTTCCCTGGGGGTAGGGAGTTGATGGTAGACAATGGGAACAAAATTGACCATTAAGAACCACCCTTGTAGATAAAGAGTAGGAAAATGTAGAGTTGGGTCAACTTTTCTTTCTTTTCTCAGTTTTCCTAAGACTTGACTTTTCTTTTCCAATACTAATTTTAAGCTGTGAAAATAGGACTTTTTGTTTCCTCTTATAATTACTCATATACAAATGTAGTTAGCTATTAGGCTCCTTCAGAGATGGACCAACGCACCTTTTAACTTGCTATAACTTGATTTCCAGTTATGAGCTATTTTATATTGAAAAATAAAATCTGATAAATAATGAAGATTCTGTTAAATTTAGGGAATTTGTGAACTTTTGATGGAGTAATTATTCCCAACTCCATTAGCTTTATGTCCTACTTCATTCCATTAGAACTGGTATACATGAATTTCTCCACTTAGGGAGATATTGTTATTCTACAAAAAAAAAAAAAAAGAATATAGCTGTTTAAATTTCTTTGTATGTTTTCATGTTTTGGCATAATTTCTCTGTATTTATTCTTCCTATCATCTCTATATTTCCATTTCACATCTAGTGATTTAACGGTAAGTTATTAGCAGCTTAAGTTTCTGTTCCTGAAGGTAACTAATAGTATACTTCCTTTGTGTTTAGGTGTTCTTTGACAATTGCCCAAAGATTTTCTACCTCTGGTACTGATCATTCTTCTTTCTTGTGTAATATAATTTTTGATAATTCCAAAATGAAATATAATGTACTTCAGAATCCCTGAATGATAGTTCTGAGCAAGCAATGCAATACCTTTTGATAATGGATATGCTCAACATGAGCATGTTTTCATCTCATACAATCAAATCAAAACAGATGTAGGATTTGTGTTTCTATTCATATGTCTTGGGAAATTCCTTTAGATTAATCCATGTAACTCTGAGTATCTAACTTGTTTTAGAGGTTATAAGAACTTTAGGTTTCTTTTCAGACTCTAATCTTTTTTTGCTGGAGAAATGAATTCAATTCTGAACCTGAACTAGGGATTTTGAATTGTTGGACTTAAACTGTTAGTCTCATATCTTTAGTTTTTATTATACAGTCCTTTTTTGCCTAGTGTGTCCATTCTTCTGCATCACTGCTTTCATTTTAAATATGTTGCATTAGGAAATTTACTCAGGGTTTATTTGCACAACAATTAATGATTGTAACCAGGGTAATGCTGCTTCATTATTTACAAGGTTTTTTGAGTAGTTAGATCAAAATGGGAACAATATATTCTTAGTTTCAGGATCTGTGGAATCATTGATTGACTGGAGTCATGGCAAAAAGTTGTTTTCTTGGCAGTTTGAGTAAACCACTGCAAGAATAGCTAAATGAATAGTATATTTTTCAAAAGCAATGAAAATTAGTAGTTGGGACACTGAATATTTGGTAGCTGTAACCCCCTCTAGGAGTTCGTTGGTTACATTTCTGGGAAGATTCTTTTTTTTTTAAGAATAGATTTGAATTGTTAGAAATATTGAGTATGAATAATTCTTTTTTTCTATAAAACTTCCATTTTTTCTTGTATCCATAAATATTCTTTTATGAATTAATGCACTATGAATGTGAAACACATGTCCTGTACAAGATGCATTTAACTTATAAAAAGGGGTCTTCAAAAAATTCATGGAAAATTTCTGTTACAGAAAAAAACTATACATGGATTTGGAGGTTTTTATCCCCATAAAAATAAGTTTATCTTTTAATTCCATTTTCCATGGCCAAATATCATTATTGTTGTTAATTTATAATCTGTAAATACTTGGACTTGCCTTTATATTTTGCTTGTTGTTTAAAACTCTATTCAGTGCTTCTATATTCTATCACTTTTTATTTCTTGAGTTTTCTTAGTGAAAATTAGTGTTAGCAAATATTTTTGATTTTTATTGGTCTAAATTGCCATTATTTTTGAAAGATATTTCTGCTGGTAATGGAATTCTGAGTTCACAGTTATTTTCTCTTAGCATATTAAAGATTATTCTGTAACATCCTAAAATATATTGTGTTCTGCTTTTAATTTTTTACTTGGAGAAGTCTAGTTAATAATTATGATTTATCTTTAAAGTAAACTTTTCTTTCTGCTTGCTTTTAATGTCCTTGGAATTTTTCAGTTTCACTGCAGAATTGTGATTCTAGATACAACTTTCTTATAAACGTCTTGTTCATTTTCTCATTTAATTGTATGCCTAACATCAGCAGTTAAAGAAGTAAGGAAGAAAGGGAAAAATGAGGCTTTTACATTTTTCATACACCTATAATTGGCAAGTATTGTTAGAAGATGTAAAAGAAAAAAAAGTCAGAAGGAAATACAAGGTGCTTTCCTGCCTTTCATGAGCTTGCCACATCATTGAAGACATAGGAAGGCATC